AGTATTAGTGTTAATATTATAATAGGGATTGCAAACAATTCCACGACGTTTAGAAATGATTGAATTCATCCTCAAATAATCGTTAATGAAAAGAATTTGAAGAAGATAGCGATTGTACCTATCAAAAGATACTATCCATCGATATTAACAATATTTATTTGGTAGTTATTTGTGGAAAACAACATTTTTTTCGAAATGCATCATTTATATAATTTTGTTTCCATAAAATATCTATAAGTATGAACTGATTTTTGTCTTGTTTTGCCATAAATCAAGTTTGATATCACGAAGCAAAACGAATATCTGCGATCAATAATGTTAATATTAACAGTATTTATTACGTAACAAAGAAAATTCATATTTACTTTTTTAACTTAACTAACTTAAGTTCTTAACTCTTATTTATATATTGGATGACTTTAATAGAAGACATTTAATCAATTCCAATAAATAACGATAGAATCTTAATTAAAGAACACAGGCAGTTACCAACATATTATTTCCAATAAATTGCTTTTCTTGTACTCGACATTAAGGAGTCCCTGCTTGATACAATATATTCTAGTGTTGTAAAAAGTTTTCTAAGCGAGATACGTATCCCGAAAAAAGGTGAATCGACTCTCAGAACGTAGGAAAGAGAAAAATGAAAGTGGGACTCCGACCTACGAAGTGCACTCGAGCGTCACTAGTCTCCAATGTAAAAGCTGCCGCTTTTTTAAACATTTTCTGTCCGATATCGTACCACAAACGGAAATGGAGATATCATCCAGAAAAAAAGAGAAAAATTCAAGATTTATTCAAGCATCCATTTACTGGACAAATCATCGCGACAATTTCACAGAATCAACATAAAACATCCACCGTTCCTAAAATCTGTAGATTCGGAAATTTGTTCGAAATCGTTCACAAAAATCGAAGCAGAGTAAAAATGTTGTATATCTTAAGTTTAATTTTTACAACAGTGACATGAAATTTATTTTATAAATTTTGAACGATCGTAATATTTCCAAACAAGTCCAATTCTGTATCAACTGCTGATTAAATAATGATTGATGAATATGACGTATTACTGATTTTATTAGAAATATCTAGTAATTGTAAAACTGAAAAATATATAAATAAGTCATACTAATAATTTCAGTTTCGGTATAAGGTCAATATAAATTTTTTTTAGAAATATAGAATCATCGTAAAAATGTAAAATGTAAAATGTAAAATGTAAAATGTAAAATGTAAAATGTAAAATGTAAAATATAAAATTTCAATGTTTCAATCGATATATGATACAAAAATTTCATTAAAATACTGATTAAAAATTACATCCGAGTTTCATACATTCTCGAAACTCAATATTTAATAGCATAGTCACTTTAATTGTTAATTGTACAAACAGCACCGCATGCGAGTATTTTTAATCAACTTTTATACAACCATCAAGTCGCGCATTTCATTTCCTTTTACTAAAGCAAATACAGAAATAAACATATAAAACCGCGATAAAAAGGATTCGAAAATGCATAAAAGTAAAAAAGAGATACGAAAACGTTATTTTGATCAAATTAAAAAAAAATACGAAAACGAGAATGTTCATAAATATTGTCACGATAACACTGAGATTCATCAGGAGTATATTTTGAAATCAAACGACGGTTTTACACGATGTAAGATCATGTAACGTAGACTAATATTGCCTTTACATTCTTCCACGGCGAAAATCAAAGCATTCTACCGTGGCAAAATGGAGGGTTCGATGCGGCATAGTATCCAAAAGGGACGGTACAA